CTAACAAAACCTCATTCATAAAGAAGCATTCATTTCATTTTCCTCCTCATTTACCTGCTTCCTGTTCCCTCTGGTTTCTCTTTTCCATGACAAATTTAATAGAGACATAGGAAACCATATTCATCATAAACCAGGGACCTATAATATCCAGTGCTCGAACGGCCCTTGTGAGGTCTGTTGGAACATTTCCCCAAGCCCTGTCCAGGCAGGGTCCCACCTAAACCACTGAGGAACCTCAAGTATTTAATGCCTTAGTCTTCCTTGAAACCCCACTGCAAGATTTAGACCATCTACTTACAGGAAAGGTCTTTCTTGTAGCCTCTAGAAATAAATTCTTTCCTTAGCTAATTCAAAGCCGTTTGCTGATACATAAAAACAATTTTTTTTATGTCTGCTTCTACCTTTTGAGCATCCATGAGGTAAAAGGCATGAAAGAACATGTTTAGATGACAAAATGGTCACAGTGATTTCCTTATGGAAAAACATATTCTTTAGGTTTAAAATCATGAAATCTACTATATTGAGGGTGTCAGAACATATTAACATTCAACATACAAGTTGGCCCATGACTGCAAAACATTCTTCCTCCCAAACACAATTTTGTTTTAATTCATAGTGGGAGGAAAAAAAATCATGCTGAAATTTTCATCCATGATAAATTATTAACATTTCTAAAACATAAAAAGGAAGAGACATATTTTAAAGCAAGAATTATTCTCTTTGTTTAGTAATCTTGAAAGGAGCTCTTACAGCTCTTGTATTTTTCATTGGTGGGTTAATAATTTTTATATCACATAATCAAAATATAATAGGTATTTTGAGCATCCTTGGTGTTTTAGCATTTTACTGAAATCATTTTGAGATCAGGTAGGAAATCCATTCCAGTTGCAGGAAATTCTATGAGATATAATAAATAGAAAACAGCTATATCTACAGAGCCTTCAATTCTCACCCTAATGCTGTGTACCATGTTAAATTATCAGAGTGAGGAGAGTCCAAGTTCCACTGACTGAAAATATGGCTTTGAGCTTTCCATTTAATCTCGAAGGATAATAGCATTCACCTACTTGGTCATTCAGAGTGAACATTCTCACTTTCCCCATACAGGCACACCCTTCTCTATAACGCCTTATCCTTTTCTAACCTATAACTCTTTTAGGTTATCAAAGAAGACTGACATGAAATTGATGCTTTCTATAGCTTTACTAAAGCTAAGAAGACAATATTATTAACTGCAAAAGTACAAGTAAGGAAGAGTTCAATAATCAAGGATAACTTCAAAGATCCCAAAAGAAAAATAAGGGCAAGTTTGACAATGGGACTATTTGGAGATGCTTGCTGCATAACCCTATTTTTCTGGCTTTGTTTCTTTTTTAACCTATTTAGGGAATTCTTATTTTTCCGCCTTTAAGGGGAAAAAAAGAGAAACTATTTAAAGAGCCATGTGGCATTGCTTTTTACAGAAAATAATTATAATTCATTATAGTTACTATAAACATGTATACAGCTTAACAATATTTAGGTCACAAGCGAGGCAGTCTTTGAGCAGTCAGAATAGTCTTTTAAAAATGGGCGAACACTTAATGAAATAAAAAGGTAAATAATCAAATAATCATTTTGTTGGAAGATTAGTACCAATGTCATGATAGCAAAAGTAACAAGTAAACTGGACCTTAAATTTGTTATATCATTTGTTCATTGTTATTAAAATACATTTAGTTCTCCTGCATCATAGAGAAAATTCAATGGGTAAAGGATCATTTAAAATCAATAGGCCCCCATAAATCTGAACTAGCACTGCTGAACCAAAGATTTTCCAGCACCTGGATGAATTACATACTAATTCTTTAAACAAGTATAATACAAAATCATAGTTCATACTTCTTAAATGGTAATATAAAAAGTCACAGATTACTCATGGGAATAATAAAGCTTGGTTATCAAAGTCTTCCAGGTGCCCAGACATGCCATTTTTTTAAAAATCTGTCATTTTAAGTCTAAAAACTAAAGTTATTTCAGTAAAACATAGCTAAAATACATCTGAATTATTTTAAACATTTTTTAGAGAACAACTACCAGAGAAATGTCTTTTCCTTTTCAGTTCCAAGAGCTTAAATGAAACATTCATGCATTAAATTCAAAGTGTGACTGTCAAATCATTTCACTTTAATAAAAATTTGAATTACCTGCCTTAGGGCATTATTAAATATCAAATAAAAAGTACACACACATAAGTCTGATTCCCAATATAATTTTTATATAGAACTCTGACTAGATTTGTATTACACATTTCAAGATAAAACGATAAAAAATGTATTCATAAAAAAATGAAATCAGATTTAGAGTCACCTTAGAATTCCTGTACTATTCTTAGGAATTTGGGAGCAAATTATGCCCTTTAAGTAATCTCAGTCACCAAGATAAGAATACAAATCCATCTTCCTATCAGAAATAGTACCTAAATTGTAATTAACTCAAAACTTTGAAAAACTACACATTATTCATCTATCATATAAAGAATACGAAGTATGTGAAATATACAAAATCTCATAAACAACGTTTCTCTCTCTCTCTCTCTCTGTGTGTGTGTGTGTGTGTGTGTGTGTGTGTGTGTGTATAAAAGAGAGACAGAAAATAATAATAGTCATTTAGATATTTAGAGAATGGCAACTCTGGTCTAGGACCAGATACAAACCAAACATTCAAGGGAATAATCTCGCCTCATTAAAAGTATCATTTACAGTTATTCACATTCACAGGGAGTATACTAACTAAACCTAGACTGGATAAATGCGTACATTCACGCTTTGCAACCCTCATCCCACCTCCGCTGCCTCTTGGCCTCTCCTATGAACACATCCTTCCCTTTTCTTCTGCTCCTATCCTATCTTCCCTGCTGTTCTCCTGCTCCTAGCTCCTGCCCCATTCATCATTAAATAATAAGAGCAAGTCATGGGTACACAGCAGCTCTAAACTACCACCTCTTTCTTTCTTCCTTCCCATTCCAGTACAGAGAGTGCCCATCCTCTCAGCAAAAGCCAGGCTCCCTTTGTGCTTAGGATTTCATCCCTTTCCACTTTTCAGACTTCACTGCTCCAGCTCCTCCCAAAAGCAGCACCTTCAGCCTCTCTCCATCTGCTTGCTCCTTTTCCATCCCCCAGTATAAAACAAATTCTATTTCTTTCATTTAAAAAAAAAAAAAAAAAAAAAAAAAAGATTTCCTCAATCCCACCCCCTCTCTGTTGCTATGGCCTCCTGCCCCACTCCAGCCCAGCCCACCAAGGTGGCTGCGACCTGGAGTCTCCAGCTCCTCCCTTCCTATGTCCTTCAGCCTGCTGCAACAGAATCCCTCCTTGATGTGCCACTCGAACACCAGTGTGGCAGAACTCTTTAACCTCTGCCCATGTCGTGGTGGAGAAAAGGGGGTCTGCCAGTCAAGCTACCTGGATCTGCTTTGGCTCCACTGTTCAATAACTGTATTACTGTGGGCCGTAGCCTCACTTCTCTGTGTCTTGGCTAACTTGCCTGTAAAGCCTCCCACAAGATTTTATACACACTTAATTAAGTAACTCCATTAGATCCATCAGAGCATTATATGAACATATACAATGTCTACGCCCAATACTTCCCTATTTCAACCCAGACTTGTTTTCTGTTCTCTACTCTGGAAATTCTAATGACCTTCATGACCAGAGTCCACCATTGCAGTTTAGCTGACAGGCATCTCTCACTCACTGTGCTGCAACTCAACTCTTCATCTTCAACCAAACAGGGCCTCCCCGCAGCTTTCCCACTGCCACTCAGTGACACTCCATCCAGGGTTTCCAAAGTGTAAAACCCCAGAAGTTATCTTTGACACTTCCATCTCCTTCCACCCCCATCCAATTCATCATGAGCTAGAACCTGTGATTTCTATTTCACATACATTAACTTCTCTCCACCTCCACTGTTTCTATTCTAGTGTCCAAGCCTCCACATCTGTCACCTCAGCTACCTGACAGACTTCTTTGTTTTTTTGTTTTGTTTTATGTTGTTTGAGACATGGTCTCACTCTGTCACACAGGCTGGAGTGCAGTGGTGCGATCTCAGCTGACTGCAGCCTCCACCTGCCAGGCTCAAGTGATCCTCTCACCTCAGCCTCCTGAGTAGCTGGGACTACAGGTGTATGCTACCACACCCAGCTAATTTTTAAATTGTTTATAGAGATGAGATTTCGCTGCTTCCCTAGGTTCCATTCCAACAGATGCTTTCCCCTTAGGAAGCTAGGGTTTGCCAGTGATGTACAATGATCTATACACTCTTAGTTAATTTACAAGGTAAAGAAATAATCCAATATATAGTCTTTTTTTATATTTTATCTCTTACACGTTTGTGATATTTTTTGTTAGTTCCTTAAGAGTAACGAATACATACATTGAATTCAGTATATTAAAATACATAATGTTTCAACCGTGTACCATATTCAGATAATTAATAACTGCTTCTCAATTTATCAAATAAAAAGCACTTCCATAGAAGAAGTATTTCAATGCATGCCAGATATGCTCCCTACCCTGAGAAACAAGAGGATCAACTGTGCAGGAAACAAGTAGGATCCACACTGAGGCTCACATGTTCCCCAAGCCCCCTCCTGTGTGCTCCTTGGTCACTGGGATATGACTCGTGCTGCTTCAAGGGGACAACATGGTAAGTTACTAAAGAGGTATGCATGTCACTTTTTCTGGGCCTCAGGGTGTCTTTCCTTATGAAAGCCACCAAAACTTGGAATTAAAGGCTACTCTGATAGGAAAATATAATCATAGTTTTTCTTCAATACTGCATAAGATTAAAATAACTACTTGACCTGTAATTAACAGAGCTCAAGAATGTGTCATAAATTTTATCAAGATTAAGTACATATGCTTTTATTACTAAATTACCAGGATCACTGTAAGTGTACCTTTGGTATGCTAGGTTTAAGTAGCTGTGCACCTCATTTTCCTTACTTAATCTGGACATACCCTCATGAAGATAGATTTGTTCCTGTCCTCTTTGGCTACTGAAATGCAGCTCTAATGACTCTGTCACTAAGAGGCTGAGTGGGCCGAAAGTTGTCTCCCAAAATCCCATCACAGCCTTCCACAAGTTCTGCCCCCTTAACATGCGTCCTCAGCCTTCGAAATTCTTCTATCTGAAAATAAAAGCAGAAGAAAATAGATTAATCAATTATCAGACATGAACAAGATTGGAGTTTCATAAATGGCATGCATAACATATGCATAAATTACAACAATTATTAAAGAGAAAATTAAAATTAAGCTTCCAAAAGAAAAAAAAACAGACTTAATTCTTCCAGACCTAAGACATTAGATAGGACCCTTTCAAGAGATGGCAACAGAAGTAGACACATCAAGGTCTCTGAACAACTCAAATAGACACAGAAATCTGCTCCATTTGTTAATGTAAAAATGATACAGGCTGGGTGCAGTGGCTCACACCTGTAATCCCATCACTTTGGGTGGCTGAGGTGGGCGCGTCACGAAGTCAAGAGTTCAAGACCAGCCTGACCAACATGGTGAAACCCTGTCTCTACTAAAAATACAAAAATTAGCTGGGCAAGGTGGTGCGTGCCTGTAATGCCAGCTACTCAGGAGGTTGAGGCAGGAGAATCACTTTGACCCATGAGGGAGAGGTTGCAGTAAGCCGAGAATACACCATTGCACTCCAGCCTGAGCAATAGAGCCAGACTCCATCTCAAAAAAACAATGATACATACCTCTCCCAGAAAGGTTTTATGCCTATCCATAGCATAATAAGAAAGAGTGAACAAATGAATGTGCTCTTAAATGCTTTCCAAATACATTTTAATTAATGAAGTATTATGTTACTGTATGTAAACACTGATTAGATCTTAGATTTATCAGATGGATTCGAGGTTTCCTTTCATCAAAAGACTTTTTTGCCACTTTTCTAGCCCTCTAGAGAGCACAGATCCAAGAAATGATTTTCTAAAAGCCTGAGCCCAACTTCCTGTCTTCACAATATTGATTTTCAAGTTCATTTCCCTTTCTTGGGTGGGCTCTCCAGGTCCCATGGCTTCCCCACTGTAAGTGAAGTGGTTCTCAGAGTCCTCAGGGACCTTGCCCATCAGCCGCCCTACAGTTTCTCTAAGAACCCAGAGCCTGCCAGACATGACTCTCTGGGAAATATTAATGTTTAAGCAACAAGCAAAAGTGATGAGCGTTCCCCAGGCTTATTTCCATTTATCTATTTAACTACAGGGTTCACTGTTAATTCACTTAAGTGCCAGAGAGTCACGACACATTCTTCATTCCGTACACAGAAGGGGAAACTGAGGCTGGAACAGTTTTGAAAATTACCAGATCAGCTAGTGGGTAAGTCTGACTATTCCAGGTCTACCTGCTCTTTTCTCAGCTCCACAGCCATCTCTTTAGGAATTCTAGTCAATTCAGTATAATCTGTCCCCTTCATACACCCCAGGGTATTGAGCATATGTGATCTGGGCAGCATCAATACACCAAAAGTTCACCATCTGTGTATCAAGGGATTATATCTACGAAGATCCTTAATATGACATAGCTACAGAATTCTGCCATTCATGAAGAGAAATGAAACGCAAGAGAGCAACTAATTCAGGGGTTTCAACAAAAGTCAAGAGACACCTAGAGACTTTAGGGGGCCCATGAAAGCCCTGAATGATATGCAAATTGTTACATGTGCATTTTCCTCAGGAGAGGCTCCCTGACTCCAAGAGTTGAATCACACATTTTAACTCAATAACTCATACATAGAGTTGTAGAAAAATTAAATGGCTAGTTCGATTAGAATCCAGGTCAGAAATCCATGTTTCTTTTTTTTTTTTTTTTTTTTTTTTTTGAGACGGAGTCTTGCTCTGTCGCCCAGGCTGGAGTGCAGTGGCGCGATCTCGGCTCACTGCAAGCTCCGCCTACCGGGCCCACGCCATTCTCCTGCCTCAGCCTCCCGAGTAGCTGGGACTACAGGCGTCCGCCACCACGCCCAGCTAATTTTTTGTATTTTTAGTAGAGACGGGGTTTCACCGTGTTAGCCAGGATGGTCAGCTTCTTTTCTGTGGGTTTTTGTTCTTTCTTTTTCTCTGCACTTACATGCACTTCGAATGTCTTATTTTTCCACGGCGCTGAATGTATGACTGATTTCCCTTAATGAGATTAAGTCTGACCCAACTGGGATTGTCCTGTTTAGTTTTTTATTACACCTATATGTTGTATTTACATAGAGGAGTCAGTCAGATAAGCAATCAGCTGTTTAGTCTACTTGATGGTTTTTCGCTAGATCTTCTTCAGGTATTAGAATGAAAATACAAGTAGCATCTATTGCTTGTTGCATCTGAAAACCTTCTAGAGACGAAGCTGCATGATAATCCCTTAATATTTGCTTTCACCTTGAAGTTTTCCCTAAGTAGAGAGTGAAAAGGAACCTGGTCAGTGAGAGAATCTTATGCTTTTTCAAAAAGAAGAATATGACAGTGAGGGCAGTGAACTCTGCACCCAAAGGCCAATTCTTGTACTGCTCTGCCACCTAAGACCCAAATGATCAAATGACTGCACCTCCTCAAGCCTCAGTTTCCACATGTGTATAACAGAGATAATAACAGTATTCACAAGGATAGCCTAGGAAATAAGAAAGAACATTCAGGAAAATCACTCAGCATAGTTCCAAGCACATAGGAAGTGTCTGACAAATACTAGCACTTCTATTGCACTTCTTTTGAAGTGAAACCTTTAGCATTTTGAGATAAATATTGAGCTATAGTTTTATATGCAGAAAGTATTTATAATAAACCAATCATTCACTGAGGAAATTTAAAGTCGTCTCTCCTAGCACTCACTTTCCATGTAATCATACTTAATACCTGCAACCTGAACCTATGAAGCATGCACAGGTCACTGAGGAGCAATGTGGGCTAGGAACTTTGCTGCCTCAACATATGAAAGACTCCATTTTTTATTGACTTTGAAGATTATTTGAAAGCTGGGTTAATTTTATATTTATGTATTCTGAACTGGAGAAAAATCTTTCAAGCCCCAGGCCTCACCCTGAAGCACATTCTGTGAAAACAACTTCTTCCAGAAGAGATGATCTGAATCAACAGCCAGCCAGTCTCAAATCACTGTACTCTCAGAGAAAACTATTTCACAAGAAATGTTTTTCTCTGATCACAGCAACACTTTGAAGACTTCAAACATCAACAGAGATGGAGGGGAAAATGTGTCTTACTGAAATGCCAATTTTTCTAAAGCAGCCACCCCCAAAACCCTTTAGTCATTTCAAATGGTTTCAAGTGCATACTGAATCAGCCACACTGAAATGAGAGATTGTGACAAATGAACAGAATAATAGAATAATATTTCGGGACAGAAATCTTTAATGAAACTCAAATGTCAGGGCCTTCCAGAGACCATTATTATCACATGTATCTGAATGTATGACTGGATGCATTTTTAATGCTACTCTACTTAAACATGGTATTTGTTTTTAACCAATTTAAGAGAAAACTGAATGTGGGGCACCCACATTGAACATTTCACGGAGAAGTCCCCATCTTCTGAAGGTATTAGATTCAACAGTCACTGTTCTTTGAACTACAGATGCACTCCAATTGGTCTAAGACCTTTATTCCAATCTTCACTGACTCACAAACCAAATTATCCACTAAAAGTTCAGCTTTAAAATTGCTTCTTTATTAATGGATTCAAAGAGCTGATTTCCAGGGTTTATGGTTTAGTGCTAGTTAACTTTCAGGAGTTACCAAGTTCTAATAGATTTATTTTGACTTGCATTTCATGTGCCATCATGTTAAAAGAGAAATACAACACGTAAAAGTCAGTATGCTCTATCCATTAACCCATCTACGGACATTCATGTGGTTTCCCTGTCTTGGCTGTCATGAACACGGAGTGCAGATATCTCTTCAAGATACTGACTTCTATTCCTTTCAATCTGTATCCAGAAGTGGAAATCAGCCAGACATGGAAACACAAGTATTGCATGAACTCACTTATATGTGGAATCTAAAACGATCAAACTCTTAGAAGCAGAGAGAAGAATGGCAGCTGCCATTGGCCAATAGCAGCTGGCAGGAAGCAGAAATGGGGATATAATAGTTACAGGGTACAAAGTCTCAGTTGTGCAAGATAAACAAGTCCTCGAGGTCTCCTATACAGCACAGTGCTTATAGTTAACAATACTGCATTGTATGCTTCAAATTGATAAGATGGTAGATCTTATGTTAAGTGTTCTGACCCAGCAAAATACTGTAACAACAAAGGACATGGGAGGAAACTTTGGGAGGTGACAGATATTTTACGACCTTGATAAAATGGTTCTTTATCAAAGTTAGTGCTCTCATTTTCTTTTATTATCAATAACAATACAAGAGTCAGAATAACATAATTCTACATGGTACTAATCAAATTAAAAAGTCAAAAGCAAATTGTACTTAAACAGTCCATATATGTATACAAAGACAGATACAGACAAACATAGAGAGAGGACTCTCCACCTTTCACGTACTGCAGCCTTGGTTTTGCCTCGTTTCTCTTCTACCCCATTATAAAATGTTCCATCTAAAATCAATGCTCCCTCTTCCTTACCAACCTCTTATTCATAAACCATCTCTCACTCTGTCATGACTCCTTAATCGATCTTTTCAATTTTTTTGAGTAAGAGAATAGGAAGAACATTCACTCCCTGGTAACACCAATGTCAACCATCCTGATGCCATCCCCAGCCTAAAGGAGCCCCAGCCTCGACCACTGTTGAGAGAGTTTCTGAGCCACACAGATTTAAACATACTCAAGAATTACAGATTAGAGAGCTCACAACCACAGGGAAAGTGCTGCCTATCACTTAAGACACTGAGAAAATACATATAAAAATATCTACAAGCAATTAAAAATGACACATTTTAAGAAAGTGAAGAAAGTGTCTCCCCAGAGAGAAGACCCTTGATTTGCACTGTCCAGGATGGCAGCCACCTGGCCCACATGGCCACCAAGCACTTGAAATGTGGTTTGTCCAATCTGAGATGTGCTTAAGTGCAGAATACACACTGCAAGCCAAAGACTCAGTATGAAAATAAGAATGGGAGAAATCTCATCAATGACTTCTTATCTTGACTACATATTGAAA